GAGGGCGGGGGAGAGGGTGTGGGGGGAGGGGGTGGATGTGGCGAACCTGCCGCCGAGCTTTACCGAGGATAGTCTGCTGTTGGGCGATGGAGAGGCGCTGCCATTGTCGGCGGTGTTGACGGGAGAGACGGGGAGTGGGGAGGGGTCGTTTCAGCCGCATACACAGGCGTGAGTTATGTCGGAAGGATGCAATACCGAGTTGGGTTTTTGACAGGTTTGTTTTCGCGGGTGTATACGTTTTTGAGACGTGATCAACCCGTCTCTTGCCTTTTCTACTACTTGCTCTTCTCCCTCTCGCGCTTAAACCTCTCCACCCACTCGCTCTCCCCCTCCCCCTTTGGCAGCACGTACAAACTCAAAATCCCATCCTTCATCACCAACCCATCTCTATCCTTCACCCTATCCTCTCCCTTCCCCGTATCCGCCTCCTTGAACGCTTGATCCATGACCTCTCTCAAGGACAACTTTTTGCCCAACTTCAACAACCTCCTCTTGCGCGTCTCGGCGTACACCTGAAGGTTTTTATCGTAATACTCTGCCTTAGTATCCCAGGGAAGAGAACCACGGGAGGTGGAGGGGAAGATGTGGGAGAGGTAGGTGGAGAGGGGAGTGTCTTCGTGGTAGTCCGAGATGAAGTCGGATTGGGAGTGGAGAGGGTAGATGAGGAAGAGGGGGAGGATGAGTGGGGTGCGGATGGCGTCAGGTGGTGACCAACTCGCAGAGAGGGGAAGTGCGGGATCGGAGGGGGTGGAGGAGAGAGCCTCGGGATCGAAGTGAGCTGGTTTCGGGTTGTCCGGTGGTCTTGGCGTAGTTTCCAACCACAACCCTCGGACGAGCAATGCCTGGTGCAGCGTCTTCTCCAGCAAACTTTTCCTCCGTTCTCGTTCCACTTTCTCCTCTTCCCTCTTTTTCGCCGATGCCAGGTTTGATTCCGCTTTCCTCTTCAACACCCTAATCGCCTCATTCTCGGGATTCACCTCCAAACCCAACGTCGCACATTTCACTGCATCCTCCTCCCTCCCCAACGCAATCAACGCCCGCGTAGCTCGGTAGTACGCCTTTTCGTTCCTGCCGTTCAGCTCCAACACCCTGCTCGTGTCTCTCAACGCCATCCCGTAGTTCTGCAGTTCCAGATGACATGCTGCCCGGTTCGCATGCAGAGTTTCGGTGAGCGCAGTGTCGGTGGGGTTCGATTCGATGGCCTGGGTGTAGAAGCCGAGCGCCTCGCGGAACCGTTTGGCGGTAAAGTACTCGTTGGCCTGAGTCTTGAACTGCGCGGCTACTTCGTTGGGTGAGCCGTCGAAGGCGAGCGATTGGAGTGCTTCGAGGGCGACGTCGGTGGAGTCAGAGGAGGAATTGGGGAGATCTTTCATGAACAGGGGCACGGAATCCCATGATTTGAGCGTGGCATCCAGATCCCGTGGTGCAGAGGAAGACGAGGTGGAAGAGGAAGAGGATGGGTCGTAGGAAAAGTCTCCTGATCGAGGTGGAGGTTTGGGGAGCGGAGCGCGGGGAGTGGTCGATGCAGGGCTGGTCTCCTCGACCGGTTCGATGACGGCCATGGTGAATAGTGTGGTCGATGATGGAGTTCGAAGTGACAAAGTTGGAAGAAAGGAACGCCGTGTGGAGCAACAAACGCTTCTTTTTTTGCAAAATCAAAATCTTCGGGTGGAATGTCCCGAATTCCGAGTCGGCTCCTTGTCCGCCTTCTCGACAAAACGTTCGGGATGACTGCGATGCTCACTATTCTCTCACGACGGTCTCGAATGCACACACTGACGCTCTGAACACGCTTCCGAATCGGCATGATCCGTGGTGTGAATGGATTGATTGACTCAGCCTTGTCACCGCCTCGCCTTTGGCATGGGCACGAAAGCATCGAGGGGAGACTTGCTCATTTCCCTGCGTGCCCTTTCCCTCTCTGCATCCTCGTCGTTCCTACCCGCTCTTCTCGCCGCCCTGCGATCCATCGCCTGTTGCAGCGATTCCGGCACCTCCGCTTCCTGACTCTGCGCCGTCGTCGGATCCAATTGGCCTTTGGCAGTGAGTCTAGCCCTACTCGCGGCCCACACATCCTCATCCGGACTTCGCTCCTGCTCCAACCTGCCTCCCTCGCCTCTCGCTTCCTGCCTCACCCTCTCTCCAGCCTGCTCCTCCACCCCCTCGTCCACCACCGTGTTCGTCGGCACTTTTCCAGCCGCACTCTCCACCAGCTTCTGCTGCGCTCTCAACTTGGCCCCCTCGTGCTCGTCCAACCTCGCCTGCTGCTCCCTCTCCCTCCTCTGCTGATCCTCCAACGCCAACTTTGCCGCGTTCGCCTGCGTCAAAAGGATTCGCTCGCGGTCCTTGACCAGCTCTTCGATGGTCGGAGCTTCTCGTCTGGTGTGCCGCAACCACATGACCCACTGGACAGGGATGGAGCGTTGGTCGTAGTCTCCCAGCTCGCGCTTTTCGGCCCATTGGATCGATCGGCGTGTGTGCCGTGGATCGAGGGAGCCGGAGAGAGAGGGCAGTTCGAGGTACGAGTTGCCGTTGAGGTCCGAGCCGACGATGTACTTGGCGTTGCCGATGCGCAGCGTTTTGGCGATCTTGGACAAGATGCCTAGGCGAGAGGTTGTGGGCAGCATTGTTGCTTGAAGGCAATATACGAGGCAGCGTTGTGATGATGTGAGAGGATGGTGAGAATGCCCATCGCTTGATCCGACATGTCGATCTTCCTCCACCTGCTTGAGGTGTGTGACTTCTGGTGCTGACCAAGACTCGATTTAATCCACACAGAAAATTGGGGAACGAAAAAGAAATTATTTATTGACGCAAATTCGCTCGTGATCGAATTGAAAAATTAAAGAAAAAAAGTGTTGTTCTCGCAAGAGAGCGCGCTGCTGCTTCGCGCAGCGCAGAGCAGAGGAGAGCAGCCACGCACAGGTCAACCAACAGCTTCCAACAGCGACTGCGCAGAGAGGTGTGTGTTGTTCTCCTTTCCATTTGCTCTTTCTTCTTCTCAGACCGTCACGTTACTCTCTTCGGCCACACCGACAAGGCCCTTGTTCTGACCAGACACGCATCGTCCTTTCCCTTCTGTCCTTAGCTCCACCACCATCATCTCCGCCGTCGACAGTCTGAGCGCGACTCGATTCGCAAATCACCACTAGCCATGGCGTCAGCCGCTCCTTCTCCAGAGCATGTGCAGCTCGTCTGCAACCTCCTTGCTCAGACGCTCAACCCGGCCGAACGCAAGAACGCAGAGGATCAGCTCACACAGGCGCAATCACAGCAAGGCTTCCTCCAGATCCTCATCGCCGTCATCCAGAACGCAACAGTGCCCAGCAACGATGCCGTTCGTCTTTCGGCTGCCATCAAGCTCAAAAACATCTGCAAGACCGCTTGGGACCAGGAATCAGCAGAAGAATCGGCCGTAGCCACTCCCGTCCACGAAAACGACAAGCAAGCCCTCAAGCAATCAATCGTCCCCTTGCTTGTCTCCATCTCTACAAACACCGACGGCAGACCTCCTGCTCCCACGAATGTGCGATCTCAATTGGAAGAGGCCATCGCTCTGGTCGCCGAAAAGGATTTCCCGCACGACTGGCCCGACCTTATGGATCACCTCGTACCCAAGCTCACCAGTCCAGATGATCAGCTCGTTCTCGGCATTCTGCGTACCGCCCACACCATCTTTTACAGGTATAGACCCGCTTTCCGCAGCGATGACCTTTACAGCGAGATCAACTACGTCCTCGGCAAGTTCGCCCTCCCGCACCTCGACTTGCTCAAACGCACAGATCAGAGGCTGCTCGATCCTGCCACTCCCTCCTCTGCTCTTCCCGTCCTGGGTCAAGTCATGAATATGACCCTTCAGGTGTTCTACGACCTTTCCAGTCAAGACTTGCCACCACAGATCGAGGACAACATGGCTCCCATCATGGAGATCTTGGCACGATGGATCTCGCAATCCCGTCCCGAACTCGACGCCGACCCGGATGAGCCTTGTGCGCTGCAAGAAATCCGCAGCAGCATTTGCGAGATTGCCGAGCTGTACGCGAAGAGGTACCTCGACGTCTTCAGCCAGCTTCCCGCATTCGTGCAGGGCATCTGGGAGATGCTGGGTTCGTGCACGCTTTCGCAAAAGTACGACACGCTCGTCTCCAAAGCCGTTGGATTCCTGTCCACCGTAGTGCGCATCGGCAGTCAGCGCAGCATGTTCGAATCGCCAGAGACGCTCGAGCAGCTCTGCAGCGCCATCATCCTGCCCAACATTGCCATCCGCGAGGCGGACGAGGAGCTGTTTGAAGACAACCCCATCGAATACATCAGGAGGGATCTGGAAACCAGCATGGAGACCGATACCAGGAGGAAGGCCGCTTCCGAATTCTGCAGGTCGCTGATGGAGTTCTTCGCGCAGCAAGTCACCACCATTGTCGGCAGATACATCGGTCAGTACCTCGAGCAGTACCGAGCCGATCCGCATGCCAACTGGAAGCAGAAGGATACCGCCATCTATCTGCTCACCTCCATCGCATCCAAATCGTCCACCGCGCAGCACGGTGTCACTTCGACCAACGAGCTGGTCAACGTCGTCGAGTTTTTCAGCGAAAACGTCCTCACCGACCTCCAGTCGAGCGCAGACGACTCTCCTAGCCCCATCCTGCAGGTCGATGCCATCAAGTACCTCTACACATTCCGCAACCAGCTCACCAAAGACCAGCTCCTCTCCGTGCTCCCGCTTCTGGTGCAGCACCTCGAGAGCTCCCAGTACGTCACCTGCTCGTACGCGTCCATCACCATCGAACGCATCCTCTCCCTCAAACGCGATTCCACCCTCCTCTTCACACCCACCGACGTCCAGCCTTTTGCCGAGAACATCCTCCTCGCGCTCCTGCGCAACATCGAACGTGGAACCACACCAGAGAAGCTCGCCGAGAACGACTACCTCATGAAGTGCCTCATGCGCATGCTCGCCACCGTGCGCCAGTCCATCGCGCCCGCGTCGCAGCTCATCCTCCAGCACCTCGCCAAGATCCTTGGCGAGATCAGCAAGAACCCGTCCAACCCGCGCTTCTCGCAGTTCCTGTTCGAGTCGATCGCCGCGCTCGTGCGCTACACCGTATCTGCCGATGCGTCGAGTCTGGAGATGTTCGAGCAGGCGCTCTTCCCGGTGTTCACGATGATTCTGGCGCAGGACGTGGTGGAGTTCCAGCCGTATGTGTTCCAGGTGTTGGCGCAGATGCTGGAGCTGCACGGTGGGGAGGGGCTGCCCGAGGCGTACTCGAGTTTGTTGGTTCCGATCCTGATGCCGGCGTGCTGGGAGAACAGGGGGAATGTTCCGGCGCTGGTGAGGCTGGTGAGGGCGTTCTTGTCGAAGGATGCGAGCAAGATCGTCGCGCAGGGTCAGCTGGGTAGCATGCTGGGGATATACCAGAAACTCATCTCGAGCCGAGTCAACGAGCTGTTTGGTTTGGAGCTGCTCGAGACGATCTTCGAAAGCGTAGATGCAGCGAGCTTGGAAGGGTACAAACGCGCGGTGCTGACGCTCTTGCTGACGAGGCTGCAGGAGAGCAGGACGGACAAGCTCGTCAAAGGTATCATCCACCTCGTCGCGAGCATCTCCATCACCAAAGGCGGGGATTACGCCGTAGGCGTATTCGAAGCCGTACAACCGGGTCTGTTCTCCCAGATCGCCCAGGCGATCATCGCGCCCGAACTCGCCAACGTCGCTGAACGACAGAAGAAGGTCGTCGTCGTCGGATTCACCCTGCTTTTGCTCAAAGGTGGGAGGGCGAGCAACGATGTTTTGCCGGCACTGTTGGGTGGAGTGGTGAAGCTACTGTCGAGCGCGAGTTTGCTCAAGGAAGATGGGCAGCAGGAGGAGCTGGTTTTCGCCGACGACGAGGGGGGGAATCTCGGGTACCAGACCGGGTTCAGCAGGTTGGTGGCGAGCGAGACGGGGAGGAAGGATTTGACGAGCGGCGTGGTGCAGGGGAAACAGCTCAAGGAGTGGTTCGCGATCCAGCTCAAGGGTTTCAGGGCCGAGGTGGGCGAGGATGCGTGGAGAGGGGTGTGGGGGGCACTGGATGCCCAGGTGAGGGAGGGTTGGGAGCGACAGATGGGTACGGTGTGAGAAGGTGCAGGGGACGTTGGCGAGATGAATTGAAAGGAGCGTTTCTTCAGATTCTTTGTGCAATGACTGGGTGAAAAGGCTCTCTTGACAGTGAGGATCGCGCACCGAGTTCAGATGGTCAGCTCTGTCCGGTCAGACTTGAAAGCTTTGATGGCTGCGACGAGTTGGTTCGTAAGCCACAATCAACGGCGGGTCCCGCGCGACACACAAGTTGATGAGAACACACGTGGATGCCAATGCGATTGCTATTTCGTGGACAAATGCGAGAATGCCATGTTGCGTGAATCTTTACAAGTACAAATCTGTGCGCGACTGCAATTCGAGTCAGGGACAGGGAGAAGACATGCTTGCTAGGAAGGAGTCATGACCTGCGACTGGATCTGATCGATGGCCAACCAGTGATGATCCTCGAGCGCTTCACCGAAGAGGTCTTCTTCGTCCTGCTCGTGCTGCTGCGTCGCGTGCTGGCGGTCTGCTGGACGCTGCTGGGCTTGGGACCCGCTCGGCATCGTGTCTGTTGTGGTCTGACTCGTCGAATCGCTGGCGAGCGTCGCAGACGAATATCCATCGAGGGCGTGGATCGCCCTCCCCGAGGTGATGACGAACCTCAACTGCCTGACCGCTTTCTTGTCGCCGGTCGTGTCCAACATGGTCGGACCGAAGGGATTCATCACCACCGCCGCTTTCCGCACCGTCGTCATGGTCATCTTCTTCTTGCCGTCGGATTCCGCAACTGTCTCTGTTGACGAGGACCCTTCTTCTCGGGGCAGACAGATTCTGCCTCTGGTCTTGGAGAGGAACAGGCGGACGTTGATCAGATTGGTCCACGTATGACCGAGCTGAGCGGTTCGCGGATGGAGCGTGTACAGCGGACCGTCGTTGGACGACCGCGATTCGTCCAGTGCTCGCGCACCGATGGCTTCCGCTAGAGTTGGGGGAACCGACGCCAGGAGTCCGCTGACGAAAGCTGACTGGGAAGCCACATCCATCGCCAACGGCTGATCGTACAGTCCTGCGTAGCTACTGCTGGAGGAGGCTTGCTGCTCTGAAGACGATGCGCTGGGATCACTGCGTCTGGTTTGGGAGCGATGCAAGCGGATGCGATCGGCAGAATCGAACACAAAGCGTCGCGCGATCTCCTTGTCGACGCCGAAAGCGTCGCTGACATGGTTGAGAACCAACACCGCCCTTTCCTGGCTACCCTGCCTCGGCGCCGACGGCTGCTGACCAGCAGCGATGCGTTTCAGCGAGTCTGCAATCTCCACAAGCATCTTGGAACGCTGCACGAGCGAGTCGATGTCGGTTGCTGCCACCGCGTCCTCTTGGAACAAAGACGGTAGGTTGTCGATCACGACCAATCCAACATCGGAAGAGGTCGTCGGGCCAGCTTTTCTGGAGGATAGTCTGCTGATCAAACCGGGCAAGCTGTACCTCAGAGCATGTTCGAGCGCTTCGATATCGGCGACGCAGGCCACATGAAGATTGGCGAGCACCCGTTCGCGACCGAGCTCTTGCGCTCTTGCGAGCAGTGCACGGCGTTCCAGATCGGTATCCTGCGAGCTTTGCGTGTCCCCAGCTGTCGAAGGATGCTTGCGGTCGAAACGCTCTTTGATGGCAAAGCTGGTCAGCTCGAGAGCTCGATTGACGATCGAGTGGGCTGCCCTCTCGCCTCCAGACGTGATGTAGCACGTGCCGAGACCGGTTCGTGAGCAGTTCGAGGTGTCCATACCGCAGCCTTGCAAAATCTCTTGAAGCGTGTCAGCTTCGTCCATGCATCGCTGCGTAGCCGCTGCTGACAAGCTGTCAGAGCTCTGATTGTCGGCGGGAGGCAAAGGAACTAAGCCCAAAGCAGCAAAAGTGCATGCTTGGATGGCCATCTGCGTTTTGCCAGAGCCGCTTTCGCCGACGATTTCGGTCAGCACAGCTGAGCGGAAGCCACCGTTCAGCAGGTCATCGAGGTCTTGAGATCCGCTCGAAAAGACGTGTGTTCCGCGACCTAGCGCCAAAACATCTCTTGTGATCATGATTTGTCCGACGTCGTCATCAGAGTTGAGGCTGTGCTCTTGGTGACCGCTGTCATCTGCAGCGATGTGTTGGACATGGGCGCGACGAAAGGTAGAAGGGGGCTCGACATCGTCGTGCATCATGGCATCTGCGTCGTCGTGGGTGTCGCTATCCGAGCCGGAGTCCGAGTCGTAGAGGAAGCGTTCTGCACCGGGAAAGTTGCCGTCGTATCCTTGCGTCGGCGGTACGATAGAGGAAGATGGAAAGCTGGCATTGCGTGCGGAGACGTCGTCCGAACCATCCGAGTCTGAGCCATCTGTGGATGCGGCGTCGTTGCCGTCGGCAGCGGCGGTGGTATCAAAGAGGTCCTGATCGAGCTTAGGCGGGGGACGTTTTCCGTTGAGAGCATCGAGCACCGAGACGGGAGAAGGAGCGGAAGCGGTAGCCACTTGTAGCACGAGGAGGTCGACGTCTGCTTGAGAGATACGCAGCGCCTGCTGAAGCTGTTGGGGCTGGGCAAGCAGAATCTCGTCTGTGCTGAAGAGCTTCGCGCGACGACAGCAGGCCTTGATGCGTTTCGAGATCCAAGGGACGTCGGCGATAGCGAGACTGGTCATGCTTTAGCTCATGGGAAGCTTCGAGTCTGGGACAGTCATCGACAGCGGCGACTCCGAAGACGAGGCAGGGTCAACTGGATAGAGAGATGAGATGCTTGAGGGAGGATGCTAGAGCAAATGCCTCCACTCGACTCGCAGTGTGGCGCAGTTGAGCCACTAAAAGTCGAGAGCTGAGTCGTGACGCCAAAAGGAAGACATGTGCGTGTGCTTGTGTTGGTCAGGTGTTGGTCTTTTGTCTTGCTAAGCTCAATTTACGCGACGGCCGCGTGCGAAACAGTTGTCTTTCGTCAGATCGGATCAGTTTCCGAGATCGGGTGAAGCCGTGGCGCGATCGACACGCCTTTAGCTGGCTGACGTTTGCGTCGCCGAGTGCAGCGGACCTCCGGTAACGAGATGGGTTGCACTTGGCCTCATGTTCGCATCACAGCGGGTCCGAATCAAGAAAATGTGTCAGCCTAGCGGGTGACCCGCGTTCATGGTCGGCAACGTCTCCGGCGGAAGAGACACGTGTGGAAACAGACACACTATCGACTACAGACAGAAGCGTGGCATCTCCCGAAAACAGGTGCAGGAAACAGTGTCAGGAAACCATCTTGTGCGGACAAAATGTCGACGTCGGGGCCTTCGGCGTACAGCTAGTCCTTCCTCCTGCTCGACAGGTTCGACGTGCTGTCGACGTGGTTTGCGACGTCGATGCTTCTCGTTGGACCGTTGGATTGCTGCACAGCCGCATTCGAAGGACGCCGGATAAAGCAACCCTTTCGAGACTGCTCTGAAGCTTTGGCTGCAGACGCTCCAGGTGTCGAGTCGATCGATTCGCAAGGCTTCGGAGTCCCGATCCTCTGGTTTTCAGATTCGAACACGCGCTTGCTCTCTCCGAATGTGCCTCGAAGGATTCCCTTTTTCATTTGTGTTTCTCCTTTTCTTCCGGGAACCGTTGAATTTGTTCATAATATTTTGAGAGAAGGGTGCTGGCTGTGGCGCGATGTCGATCCTCTGTGCCTCTCGAAACTGTTGGTTGTCAAACCCGAGGTGAAATGAGTGTATGCAGCTGCCAAACGTGTCGGTGCGTGTGTATGCGTGGCACAGAGACTGGGAATCCAAACTGGCATCTCGCCATTCGCCTCCCGACTTTTTTGTGGCAGCTGCACACACAGAGGACGAATTGACTTTGTGCCGCGCGCGTTTCGACGTTTCTCACGACTGGGATTGTCCAACACCAGACACAAGCACAGACACACGCAGTCGCTCATTCCTCGCTGTCAAGTTCATCTCGATTTCCGTCCAGCTTGTTTTCTTCTTCTTCCCCCCACCACCTTCCCACCCCACGTCGGCGATCCTCTCCTTTTTCCCCTTCGCCTCAAATCATCATGTCGACCACCGAAGTAGAGACGCTCGTCATTGGTGCTGGCCCTACCGGTCTCGGTGCTGCCAAGCGCCTTAACCAGCTCGTAAGTGTGGCAACCAATGTCCAACGGTGTCGACGGCAGCTTTCAGAATCGCTGACAACGTCCTCACCTTCATCGTGATGCTCCTCTCTTTCCATTCTTTCAGAACCACGGTCCATGGCTCCTCATCGATGCCAACAAGGAGGCCGGTGGTCTCGCTTCCACCGACACCACCGACGAGGGCTTCCTCTTTGACGTCGGCGGACACGTCATCTTCTCCCACTACCAGTACTTTGACGACATGATCAACGAGGCTCTTCCCCACAAGGACGACTGGTACGAGCACCAGCGCGTCTCGTACGTCCGCTCCAAGAATGTCTGGGTTCCTTACCCTTACCAGAACAACATCTCAGTCCTGCCCGTCCCCGAGCAGGTCAAGTGCATCGAGGGCATGATCGATGCTGCCGAAGAGCGTGTGCGCGCCAAGTCGCCTCCCACCAACTTTGACGAGTGGATCATGCGCATGATGGGTGAGGGTCTCGCAGACCTCTTCATGCGCCCTTACAACTTCAAGGTCTGGGCTGTTCCTACCACCATGATGCAGTGCAAGTGGCTCGGCGAGCGTGTCGCCGCCCCCTCGCTCAAGCTCGTCGTCTCCAACACGCTCAACAAGAAGGTCGCCGGCAACTGGGGTCCCAACGCCACCTTCAAGTTCCCCGCCCGTGACGGAACCGGCGGTATCTGGAAGGCCGTGGCACGCACGTTGCCCCAGGACAAGCTGCTCTTCAACAAGCGCGTCAAGACGGTGGATGCCGTCGCTCACAAGGTCGAGCTCGAAGACGGCTCGAGCATCAAGTACAAGCACCTCATCAGCACCATGCAGCTCGACTTTATGATTGACAATGTCAAGCTCCCCGCCGAGGACAACCATGCCCAGCTCAAGGCCGCCGTCAAGGAGGGCCTCGTCTCGTCGTCGACCCACGTCATTGGTATCGGTATTCGAGGCTCGCTGCCACCACGCATCGGCGACAAGTGCTGGCTCTACTTCCCCGAGGACGACTGCCCCTTCTACCGCGCCACCATCTTCTCCAACTACTCGCCCTACAACTGTCCTCAGGCCGACGTCAAGCTGCCAACGCTCCAGTACGCCGACCCGTCCAAGGGTACTCCATCCAAGGACGCCAAGGAGGGTCCTTACTGGTCGCTCATGATGGAGGTGTCCGAATCGCACCTCAAGCCCGTCGATGCGCAGACGATCCTGGCCGAGACGATCCAGGGATGCATCAACACCAACCTGATCAATGCCGACGACGAGATTGTGTCGACGTACCACCGCAAGTTCACACCCGGCTACCCGACACCTTCGCTGGGACGCGATGCTGCGCTCGCCACGTTGCTGCCCGCGTTGGAGAAGCACGACATTTACAGCCGTGGCCGATTCGGATCGTGGAAGTACGAGGTGGGCAACCAGGACCACTCGTCGGCGCTCGGATGGGAGGCTGTCAACCGTGCGCTGCTGGGCACTCCGGAGCTGACGCTGCTCAACCCGGACTGGGTCAACGGCCGACGCAACCACGAGCTGCGTCTGACCAACTAGGGTGTCTGCCGATGATTCGCACGTTGATCGGCTTCTCCGCTCACCCGCTCCTCCCCACCGCCAGCCATCTCGCGAGGCATGTGCGGTTGTACCATTGTCGGATGCATTCACCGGATACATCACATTACATTACACTAGAAGGAATCACTTTTTTTCGTTGGTCAAAGAAGAGCCATCAAGGCGATGCGGGCGTGAACTATGTGAGCGTGGTATGTGGTGCAAGAGACAAAGCTGTGGCTGTTGCGTGTCAAGGGAAAGGGGGAGATTCTTAGCAGTAGCGACACGCAATGTGGCAAAGCGAGCAGAAGTGGAATTATGCAAGCGGAAGACTGAGCGTACTCTGTTTGCAGCGGTGCACTAGTAGTAGTGTTGTGGGAGTCGCGAGCTGGCAAGCTTTGTCAAGTTACTGAGAAGTGAGAAGACTCTGAAATGGGAAGAACGGGAGAAACGACGATCGTTCCTGGTCTTGCTGCGTTTGCGGGGAGAATGTTTTGCAGCTCCGTCTCGAGCTCTACCGAGATTCCACCGATGCGAAGCCTTCTGCGCCGCTCGGGCTGCAAAGAAGAAGAATTGCTGCGCGGGACAGATACATTGTGTGCCAAGTAGTGGAAAATTGAAGGACGTTTACTGTTCTGCATCGCCGACTTGGATGGTATGCTACGGTCAAGCCGACTCCTTGATTGTGAGGGTGTGGCTGCTGTGAGAGCTCTTGTATGTGTGAATCTTGCGTGTGGAGTAAGTAGATTATCGGAAACGGTGAAGGGGAGGCGGACAGGCAGCAGCCAGGCAGTCCCGAGTCGGGCTCTTGCCGAAGCAGCAACTGTGACTTACGAAAAAAAGGGCAACGAGGTGAGTGAGCACTTTGAGGCGTTCGCTGATCAGTGCGCTTCCCGATTATTGTGTTTTCGAGCGCCAGAAAAGTGATTTCGGATTGGCTTTTCAAGGCTTGCATGCACCCTGAGCGGCGCCTTCCTGCCGAGCGTTTGTTGGTCTTGTCATCTCAGCGACCTTCCATCACTCATCACTCGACGGCAAGGCACTTGCTTCTCTCGAATCGTCCACCGGCTTGCTGCGTGGCTTTCACCTTCGCTCTCATCCGCTCGAGTCTCGCAAGCCGACTCTGTAAGTGTGCCTCAAGGGAGGAAGAAAGGAGTCATCATGCTGTGATGTGATTAAGCACGCCGCTGACACTTCCTGCTCGTTGCTCATCCACTTGATTCCTTCGGTTGCTCCCTTTTCTCCGTCTCGAATGCGATCGATCAGCCTCGCGCGCTGCTACAGACATTTCTCTGCAACCCTATCGTCAGGTGCCCCTGCCTCGATATCTCGCTCGCTCTCTCGCCCCCAGCAGCGCTCCTTTCATTGGCCGTTGACCGTCTCACTCATCTCTGAGGATCTTCTGGCAACCATCAGCCTCCTTCCAATCCCAAGCATGTCCTTCTCTTCTGACAAGGGCAGCCGTCGTGGCTCCATCTCGCTCGCCAGCAAGCGTCGAGGTTCTGGAACCGAAAAGCTCGAAAGCCATGTAAGTGCCTACCCCCTCTCTCTGTCATTCTTTTCCCTCTCCTCGTCTTCGGCCCACGTCCCGCTGCTCTACTCCTCGCAGCGACGTTCAGCTTGCCATCGCGCCCAGAACCTTTTTCTACATCCACCATCATCGTCCGACACATTCCTGGCCACGGACCGATCTAATATCCCATCGAAGCAATCGATCCGCGCACCATTCTGCAAGGCAATCGAAACACCTTTGATTGGTTGCACGAGGCTGAGTGCCAGCCTATCAACTTTCTCCTGGTCGCTCCACCCCTTGACCTGCTCCTCGACGCGCTGCATCCACCAGCCCTCCAGACCACACCTGGCGAAAATGACTGCTGTCGCTCATACACTCATGCCCTCTTTGCCTGTGGGCAAAGTTTCTCGCCTCGTAGGAGGGGGCATCTCGTACATGGAGCGTGCGTTGCTGACGCTCAACTCACTCACACCTGATTCGCTCACCAAACAGATCGCCTCGTGGCACACCAGTTCGCACAAGCATGAGGACAACCCACACGCCCACGAGGAGCAGCTCAAGCAGACCTACGAGCGCTTCGAGAAGCTCTTCACCATCACGCCCCAACGTCTGCGTATGATCACCGACCGCTTCGTCGGCGTGCTCGAGGAAGGTCTCCAGAAGGATGGTCAGACCGTACCCATGCTTCCCGCCTACGTATTCGGCTGGCCCAGCGGCGATGAGGTCGGTTCCTACCTGGCTCTCGATCTCGGTGGCACCAACTTGCGCGTCTGCCACGTCGTCCTCAAGGGAGCTGGAAAGTTCGAAATCACTCAGTCCAAGTTCCGTCTCACCGAAGAGCAGAAGCAGTCCGAAGGCCAGAAGCTCTTCGACTTTTGCGCCGACTGTCTCGCCACCTTCATCAAGGATCACTTTGGCGACCAGAACGGCGACGTCATCCTCGAAGAGGAGCTCGCGCTCGGCTTCACTTTCAGCTACCCGATGGAGCAGGAAAAGATCGACCACGGCAAGCTCGTCCGATGGACCAAGGGCTTTGGCAACCCCAACACCGAGGGCCGCGACTGCGCCGCCATGTTCCGCGAATCGCTCGACAAGTTCAAGCTGCCCGTCAAGATGGTCTCGATCATCAACGACACCACCGGAACGCTCATCGCCTCCAACTACGTCAACCACGACACGAGGATCGCCTGCATCTTTGGTACCGGCTGTAACGCCGCCTACATGGAGCACATGAAGGATATCCCCAAGATCAAGCACCTCGGCCTGCCCGAGGACGAAGAGATGGCCATCAACTGCGAGTACGGTGCCTTCGACTCGTTCAAGCACGAGCACATGGCCGAGATCCGCACAAAGTACGACGAGTACATCGACCTTCACTCCAACAAGCCGCACGAGCAGTCGTACGAAAAGATGATCGCCGGTCTCTACCTCGGCGAGATCTTCCGCCTGTGCATCTGCGACCTGATCGACGAGGGCATTCTCTTCCTGGGTCAGAACACGTACAAGCTCGAGAAGACCAACGTCTTCGACACGGCCTTCCTATCGCTCATGGAGTCGGATCCCACCGACGAGCTCTTGACGGTGACCGGTCTCTTTACGCACTTTTTCGGCATCGACACCACGATCGAGGAGAGGCAGTTCTTCCGCAAGCTGGCCAAGCTCATCGGTACACGATCGGCGCGTCTGAGCTCGTGCGGTATTGCTGCGCTGGTGACCAAGATGGGCTACCTGGACAAGGGGTGCGGTGTTGGTGCCGACGGCTCGCTCTACTCGAAATACCCTGGATTCGCCGACCGCCTCCACCAGGCGCTCGAAGACATCTTTGGCGAAAAGGGACGCAACATCAAGACCTACCAAGCCGAGGATGGTTCGGGTGTAGGCTCGGCCATCATCGCAGCCATGACCAAGGCGCGCAAGGAGGAGGGCAAGTACGTCGAAGTGTAAAAAAAAGTGGTACGTAAAGCAGCGCTGTGTGTTGTATCGACTGCTGGTTGGCGAGAATCGCAAAAGTATCCACAAGTCGACAAAAAGCGAGCTGTGATATGGCATGCGTGTGTGGATGTGAGCGTCTTTGGATCAAATCATATTGTTCTGCAGTTGAGGTGAGAGGGTTGCCAGATGCTTTGCGGGCACAAAGGGGATAGATACCTTGCGCAAGCACAGAAAAGGTACTGTGCAGTCTTATAGTAGTACTCGACGACCGGCGGCAGCAGCTGGTGCACGACGCTCTCTAGCAGTCCACGCTGACTTGTAGCTCAAGATGGATCGGCTGGTGTTGCAAGCGATCGAATGGAGCCAAATGCCGAAACGAGGCGAGCGTTGGCTCGAGAAGACGGTGGAAGAAAATCGGTCGGCCACTTATTTTGCCGCGCCTATTGATTTTGAGGTGGGTTCGTGCGTCGGAATTTCGGGTTGGAGAGAAAAATACATGGTGGAGATTGCCGATCGCGCGTGGCCGGCAATGTCTGGGATGCGGAGAAGTCACCGGTTTGGGAGAGAGCTGTGCGCCAACCAAGGGGCAGCCAGCCAGGCACTCGCCCCCTCCCGCACGCACACTTGCCGGAACCTCTTCTTCTCAAAGACCCTCGTCTCGCTTGTGTGTTTGCAAGACTCTCACGAGCAACGACGATGAGCTGGAAGGTATCGTACAGCATCATCTCGGCGAAAAGTGCGCACCGCCGTCGAACCCCACCCAGTCTGAATTTTCGGTCCTTCGTGAGAGAGAAAGTGTGATTGTGATTGTATGCTTAGCAAAGGCTTAGTCGATGCTGCGATCCATCGTTAACCTAGAGCACGCACTCGCGAGCGGTGTCTGAGCTGAGTCCGAAGGAAGCTGACAATGTGTGGTTCGTGCCTGAACAAGACTGATCGACCAGTCAGTCTGACGGCACGATCGAGTTGGCAAGGGTCCAGCTGTGGCTGAAGTTGGCTCGCAACACGCCGGGCGCTCGTCTGCCCGGCAATCTCATCTCGGAATTCTTTGCTCGAGGGTTTTGGCGGCGCCGTGTGACAAAGTGACACAGAGGTGCATGCGACCCAGCGCAGCAAGCACCAAAGCACCAAGAAGAAATTGGTAGGTGACCGGTCTCTCTGCTGCGTAACCCACTTTTCGACTGTCCCCGCGTTCGGTCGGACCTTCCGCGTGTTGCTGGATTTGACCGTCACCGCCTCCGCCGACGCTTGTTGCTGACGCTGACGCTGGCGCTGCTGCTGCTGCTCATCGGGGCCAGCCCGAGAGCATTGTGCTCACACGCTAGTGCTCGGAAGATCCGCCACCGTCGACCGTCGCCTGTGCACTTGCGCCCGCTGTGGCTGTCCTTGTATATAATACCCTTCTCCTCGTCAGCGCTGTCAGCAACTTTCCCACCATCATCTCACCAAACCGTTTTCACATTTGTTTTCTCAAAATGTAAGTGGAATCATTCCGCACCTTTGACAATCTCCTCCGCACCGGACGTGCTGCTGACCACGCTCGTAGGCGTTTCGCTTCCCCTCTCCGAATGCATGCTTCCCTTGCTTTGCGCAACATCAGGCCTACCACTCACTTCAAGCTCAACTCTGGCGCTTCGATCCCCTCGGTCGGTCTCGGCACCTGGCAGTCGCCCAAGGGCGAGGTTCGTGATGCCGTTGCCCACGCCCTCAAGTCCGGCTACCGTCACATTGGTAAGTATCTCCCGCCCAAGCACAATCGCCCGCGTCCTTATTTGGCAATCGGAGCTAACCACGTCGCATTTCCGCCTTCTTTGTCGTGCACCTGATTTCTCCCCACAGACTGCGCCTGGGGCTACCAGAACGAGGACGAGGTAGGAGAGGGCATCAAGCTCTCTGGTGTCCCCCGTGAGGACATCTGGATCACCTCGAAGCTCTTCGAATTCCACCACAACCACGTCCGCCAGGCTGTCCAGGACACCCTCGACAAGCTCGACGTCAAGTACCTCGACCTTTACCTCATGCACTGGAACATCGCCTTCGTCCCCGAGGATGTCCCCGCCGGCCAGCTCCCCCGCGACTCCAAGAAGGACCCCGCTACCGGAAAGCACCTCCTCGACCTCGAGACCACCGAAAACTTTGTCAAGGTCTGGGCTGAGCTCGAGAAGCTCGTCGATGAGGGTATCGTCAAGAACATTGGTATCTCTAACTTCTCCATCCGCCGCACCAAGGAGCTCCTCAAGTCGTGCCGCATCAAGCCCGTTGTGAACCAGGTCGAGCTCTCCTTCACCTTCCCCCAGCCCGAGCTCGTTGGCTGGCTCAAGAAGCAGGACATCCTCCCCCAGGCTTACTCGCCTCTCGGCTCCACCGGCGCCAGCCAGGCTTCGCTCAAGGTGGTCGACGAGATCGCAAAGAAGCACAACGTCCAGGGTGCCAACGTCCTCATCTCGTGGCAGGTCGCCCGTGGCTGCAACCCCCTCCCCAAGTCGGTCACCCCTGCTCGTATCGAGAACAACATCAAGCTCATCGACCTTTCCGCAGAGGAGCTCGACCAGCTCGAGAAGGGCGCTGTCGCACAGACCCCCAAGAAGGTCTGCGACCAGTCCGACCTCGTCGTCCCCTCGTACGATATCTTCGAGGCCAACAACCCTACCAACAACGACAAGGTCCAGGCTGCCCAGGCTTGAACCTACAAAAAGAACCTACACCAACATGTGCTCTCCTCTCTCTCATATATATATATATATATATA